GTTTGTGAGAGAGAAATAATGTTCGTTCGTTAAAAAGTACCGTTGAAATAGCGCTGCGGAACAGCCAGACATGGCAAAGACCGGCGCCTGGGTGGGTAAAGGCAAATGTCGATGCCTCCTTCCATGCAGGGTGCCGTTCTGCTGCTTTCGGGATTGCTCTCCGTGATCAAGATGGAAGATTCTGTGGAGGGAAAGCTAAGCTATATGGTATGATGTTTGCCTGGATGCACTAGCTGCAGAAGCCATAGCCTGCCGCGACGGACTCGTTTATTCTCTGAACCAGGGAGTCAGGAAACTACACTTGGAGACCGATTGTCAGGTTTTAGTCAATCTATGGATGAGTCGGGCCAAGCAGAAATCGGTTATTGCCCCTTTTTACTGCAACGGATTGAGGACCTGAGCCGGAGTTTCGAAGATTTTCATTTGAGTTTCAGTAGTCGAACTCGTAAGAAAGTAGCTCATGTAATTGCTCATATGGTGTCCCGAGATAACCAGGTGGCGTAGTGGCTTACAACCCCACCGGGCTTAGAGGACATCATAAACGCTGAGTACTAGTACGTACTACCACATACAGGCCGGTCGGTCGGTCGGTAAGACATGGTAGGAGCGCATGTACACACACACAGTCGCGCGCGCCGAATGAATACCAGTGCAGCAGCACCCGGCCGCCACATGTTTCAGACGACCAGCCGGGCGGGAACACGTACGACGGCACACTAGCGAGGAGTAGCTGCTTCTGTCAACCGGACGCAGTAGTCACGTCACGTCCTTCTCGTACGACAAACCCTGCGGCGTAGTGGGATCGGAGCCGGGGCCCGGGAGAGGCCGGACGCGGCGGCATAACGGCACGTCACATCGCGTGCGTTACGTTGCATCACGGCAGCTGCGCCACCCAGCTAGTGGTTAGTTAGACTGTGAGAGAGAGAGGCCGGATGCGTACAGTGAGTCAACCTGCAGTGCACAACGGGTGCGCGTGACCGCGTCGCTCGCTCGCTAAGTCGATACGTAGTATCTAGAGATAGCCTGCCGAATTGCCGATTGCCGATCAATGTGCAATCGCCCGGACGGTAGTACTCCCTTAACAGGAGCCCATTATCCCAAAAAAAAAAAAAAACTAAACAAGGCAGGAGCCCTACGAGAGAAGGCTGATGGAGGCCCACCCAGGCCGTTCCGCTTCGTTTTTCATGAGCCATAATCCCGTAAACCGTAACGTAATGGAAAAAGGATGTATTACATCCCTCAACTTTCGCGAAAGTCCGTTTTTCCTCCCTGAACTCCAAAATCAGGCAAAACACCTCCCTCAATTTTTTAAAACAGTTCATCTTACCTCCCTGACCATGTTAAAACAGTTTTAAAGACGGTTTTGTCTTTTTTTATATATTTATTTTGGCTAAATCTTTAAAAAGCCTAGTTCTTGAATGAACATAGAGAAGAACGCCTGGAAATTTAGCTGTACAGAGATCTGCTAGTAATCAGAGATCGCTCACCATGGTATTACGAAGATCTCTCGACAATACTGCCGTTCGGAATTCTGATGGATCGCCAATAACCCATGTCTCTTGGGCCATTTTTCCATGCCTCCATGATAGGTACTTCTTCGTTTGTGAGTGTGAAATTGCAGCACCCTGAACAGTCGATCACAATGCAATGTCACCTCACAGGAAATGTTCCATGCGCGTGCATGACGCGCTCAGATACGCATAACGCAACAGGACCTCGATATAAGAGAATCCAGCATTAAGTGCCAACATACGCACATGTAGCCATCTATATATACTGTTATTACCAAACATGTGCACGACAGTTATATGTACAGTTATTAAAGAAGAGTACTCCTATCAGTGTACTCTGGGGTGCCAACAGAGGCCCCACCAGTGTACTGCTGTGTCTTCTTCTTCGAAGATGATGTTGCCTTGGTCACACCTCCTTTCTTTTTCTGCCGGTAAAAAACTTTCACACCACCAGATGACATGTTTCTCTATTCTTCAGTCCTGCAAGTGTTTCTTTATCAATTCCTTCCAGCAGAAATTTGAAATCAGACCTACTCTAGATTTTTTTGTCTTTGGTTGAAAGATATATATACTCCTACACTACAAGTGTGCATCCAGAGAGCCACCAGAAACCCTTACATTCAGAGCTCTAGTCCTGGAGCACTAAGCATGGTATTGTGTAAATAAAGAACTGAATATGGGCAGCCTGTAGGTAATGAAACACTGGCCCAGTCATTGTTTATGAAGCTGCTAGCATCATTGCGGTATAACCGTATAACCAATATGCATATAATAGTCAGCCCTTAGGTAGTGAAACATTGGTCCAGTCACTGTTCACAAAGCTGTTAGCATCATTGTAGTAGAGACCAATGCATACGGTGAGATCTAATGTAGCAGTCATCTAATATTAGCATCATATATATGCATGGTCACTTGGATATGCATGGGCATGAGTCGAATACACCGAGACCGAGCAAGCTAAGATCTTCATCAGTGACATAATCTACAAACCAAACTGAAAAAGGCATGCCTAAACACTCTTTCTGAGCTCGCCGCGAGCACATGTGTGTACCTCAATAGAAGGCAGTAGGATTGAGGCTCTGGAACTGGAATACAGAGCAAAAAACAAAGAAAGAACGATCTTGCAGAATGTCCTGAACACAACATTAGAAATGTTCCTCGGTCGCCAATCCATTGCGCATCCAGGGCGTGGAGTGGGTGTTCAGTTGAATCCCCGTGTCTTTTCAAATGAAACTGCAACCGTACCTTAACTGGGAACCAATATTGAAGCCCAGTGGTGACAACGAAATATTATTCTCCACCTAGCGCGCTAAAAGACGAAGATGACGAACCTAATCGAACAATGGATGGATCAATTGGAAGGGCAGCAGGGGCGGACCCAGTAAAGGACATGGATTTACACATGTATACCCAATATTTTTTTGCAAAAGAGTCGAAGTTAGTAGGCATGTATACACTTGAAATGAGATCAGATCCGATTACAAATATGTAAACAGCTTAAGTTAGGGTTAGGGTGTCCGGTTCCCCACAGGAACGCAAGAGAAAAGGTGCACATACCTCGTGGCCGTGGGTGCTCGTCGCCGGCGAAGGACGCGACGAAGGCCTCGGAACGGACCGACGAAGACCTGGGCACCTGGCGTAGGGCGTTGGCGTCGGCGGCCGCCCAGTTACCGCAAAAGAGAGAAGTGGGGAGTGAGGACTGAGTGGGGACTGGACGACTGCATCGTGGTCCGGCAGGGTGAATTTGCTAGAAGATACTCGTCAGGATAAGCCGAAGTATTTTTCATCGAGAGGGTAATTTTGCTAAAAGATATATTTCATTGGTGATCTTTGCTAGAGAAGATGACAGCGGATCGGATGGATACTTGACTGTGAGTATATCCATGATCTTAGGTTCTACTTACCCACGAGCATACCCACACGTAAGATTTGGTACCGAGCACCTACCTGACTGGTTAGATTCGGATGCCCATCACGTAAATTCAAGAGATCAAATAATAAAATCATAGTAATTTGAAATAATAAATTTACAGTTAAATATCAAATCTGTCACTCTCACTTACGTACAGTCCAATAGGACGATATAGCTCACAAACCACGGTACATCGTGGATTCATAGTTCGGTCCTTCGAACTCATACAAATAACACAAACAACTTACATAAGAACTAAAGTAACAAATTAATAGCTCACACAGTCACTTTATTTAGCCATCCATGAAAAATATCATTTCATATTTCAACATGCTACCTGCAAGTTACAAGTTAAATGGGTCAGTTGACATTTCAACATACTATTTGCATCCTTGAATCAAAGTGCTGCCTGAATCAACACGAGTGCTGATACAATTTTACATTTTTTTTACACTGTACCTCTACATGAATCAAGCCAACGAATGCTGTCTGGTAAACATCTCAAAATGACCTTTGTCGTCTCTTGGCTGAAGCTTTATAATACAATTACATTGCATGGTTTAATATAGCTGGAAATCAGGGATAGCAGAGGTGAGGGCTATATAGTTTTAAGCATGATCATAGAAGATACGATGCACGCTAAATAATATTCTAGGGGATCTGAAAGCGACCGCCATACCTGCCGTCATCGCTCGCGCAAGTCACCCCGTACCCTAGGCCAGGCATAGGTGACTCGCACGTTTCTACCGATCTCGGCATCGGCGCCAAGACCCTGTCCAGAAGCCGGGGCAGGTCAAAGGCCCGACGGGACGACCGGCCTCGCCGAGTCGCTGCTCCCCTCCCCCTGGCTTGCGCTCCAATCCCAGACCCCACGCGGCATGTGGCGCACCACGCACGCCCTGACGTAGGTAGGCTGCCGCTGCAGATGCGCGGTCGTCGGCTCGCGGAGGCGACAACGGCGAACCGGCCCGTGTTTTTGGGGTGTTTAGTTAGCTCAAATTCCAAACTTTGCCACTACGCTTTAAAGAAAATTTTCGTCATCATCAAATTTAATACATACCAATTACTAAATGCGACGAAAATTAAAACTAATTGATTTAATACTTTGCGATTTAACGTTTTGACCGCAACGTTTGACATGATTATTACAAATCTTCTGACGGAAATTCTTGTATTTTGCATAATTACTTTAAACGTCGACGATTTTGGAGCACTAAACAATTACCAATCCCAGACCCCACGCGGCATGTGGCGCACCACGCACGCCCTGACGTAGGTAGGCTGCCGCTGCAGATGCGCGGTCGTCGCTACAATAACTTTACCGGCGACAACGGCGAACCAAACGAGGTGTTTTGATACCTTTCTTCCCTTTAAAAACACGGCAAAAACTACCCGATTACGCTACCGAACGGCTCGGCACGGCACGAGCGGGGCCGCCGCACCGGAACGTAACCGAGCCCTAGCAGACCCGACGTCTCCAGACTGCAGAGCATCATCAGTCGAGGAGGAAGTGTGGGGGAAACGCGCGTGGCGTCTGGCCGGGTATGCGCATCGGTGCCGTCGCCAGGACGACCAGGATGGCAGCCGAGGAGATGAGGCGGGCCTCCGCCTCCACGGCGGCCGCGGCCGCGGCCACGGCGGAGGTGCCGGCGGCGCCGGCGCAAGCGGGGTCGAGGTGGGCGCGGGTGTGGCCGAGCGCGCTCCGGTGGATCCCCACCTCCACGGACCGCATCATCGCCGCCGAGGAGCGGCTCCTCTCGATAGTCAAGTACGACCTCGCCCTTCTCCATTTTAGCAAGTAGTATTATGTGGATTGAATTGATACTTCAGGCTTTTTATTTCACTGGTGCAGTTCAGCTGGTTACTGTACTTGGGATTTACCGGAAAAGCTAGTCACTTTCGCCTTCTAATTTATCAAATTGCGTGTCAATTGGTACAAATTTCAGGCTCTTAACCAGAAAAGCTGCACGGTCACTTAGCTTCGAAATTTCATTGCATTTGCGCCGGTGCTAATTCGGCGATTGATTGTTGGTTCATCTGTGGTCGAGCCCGGCTAAGAATAAGGTCCCTTTGAATGTTGATCACGAAGCTAAGATTTTGGAACTGTAGGAAAATTGCGTGCCTTTGCCCTTTCATCAAGTCTGTCTGACTGGGCTATTGCTGCAGTTTCACTGCAATCTGCTATTAGTGCTGCAATTAACTGCTAGCTAAATGCAAATCTGCAAAGGTTATCGAGCTAACAGTTTATGAGTTGTACTAACTGAAATGTTGGGGACTCGGAATCATACCTGTAAGTTTTCTTAAAAAAACATAACATTGTTGCTTAAGTACTGTCATTCATCTGAACCTAGTGTTTGATTGTAAGCACACGGTTGCTTCTGATTATACTGAAATGTTGCAAGCTGTCTGAAAGAGTGAGGTAGGAACTACATAGCATGTCTTAGTATTAATATATTGGTTCATTTTCAACTTGTGTAAGAAGTTATAAAATACCATACTACCCCTATGGCACTGCTAATCGATATGCTTTGTTGTCTGCTAATTATTGTTGCATTCCATGGATCTTTAATGTTGTATTTTATTTGTAATAGGCTTTCTATCTTTGTTGATGAATGGGCATTTATCATTTCATTCTAGATATTATGTATCTCTTTTGTATTTTGCTGTACATGGCACACCTTTGATTTTGTCTTTACAGAACTGGGTATGTCCAGGAACATGTCAACATTGGCTCTGCTCCACCTGGGTCAAAAGTAAGATGGTTTAGGTCAGCAAGTGATGAACCAAGGTTCATTAATACTGTAACATTTGATGGCAAGGAGAACGCTCCCACCTTGGTTATGGTCCATGGCTATGCAGCTTCACAGGGGTTCTTCTTTCGAAACTTTGATGCCCTTGCAAGCCGTTTTAGGGTGATTGCCATTGATCAGCTTGGGTAAGTTTTGACAAAAATGGCACAGAATAATTTTTGTTGTCGATCACTATAGGTCTTTAATCAGTAGTGGATTTATCGCAATCAAGAAAAAAAATGACTTTATTTCAATTATAAATTGATCTGATCCTTAAGTTTTAAAATGTCATGGCATATGGTTTAGCGTCATCCATTCTCATTTTATCTTCCTCTGATGCATTTGATGGCACTATAGCATTGACGTTTCTCATTCCTTTTGCAGCTGGGGTGCTTCAAGCAGACCTGACTTCACATGTAAAAGTACCGAAGGTTGATACTTCATTCTTTACCTGCACAAGTTTAGATATGATGTTACTTCTTTTATCATGTTACTGATAACCCACAACAGTCATTAGTTTTTAACTTTCTGCATCATTTATCATGCCATGTTCTCTAATTTTCTGATGGTATTTTGATACGTTATTTTCTATGAAATCTTAGTGGTTTTAACCATTTTATGAAGCCTAAATAGTTTTATTCCACCAAATTCATATATCGATTCAGTTCTTCCCATCTCATATGCTTATGAGTGGTGTAGTAACAAGTTAAAATCTTTTGCCTCTCTTATGGGTGTGTTTGTAAACAGAAACTGAGGCATGGTTCATAGATTCTTTTGAGGAGTGGCGCAAGGCCAAGAACCTCAGTAATTTTATATTGCTTGGTCACTCCTTTGGAGGATATGTTGCGGCAAAGTATGCCCTAAAGGTATATTCCTAAAACATTTACCATGTCAAGTGTCTCCATTTATGCCAATCATCACTAACAACTCAGTCATATTTCAGCACCCTGAACACATTCAGCACTTAGTTTTGGTTGGTCCTGCTGGCTTCTCGTCAGAAACAGAGCAAAGCTCTGAGTGGTTAACCAAGTTTCGAGCAACATGGAAAGGCATGCTAATGAATCATCTTTGGGAGTCCAATTTTACTCCCCAAAGAGTTATTAGGTAATCTAAGCTTGTTGCACTTATTCTTTTTTTTTGAAGCATTACATATTACAAACTAAAATTTCATGTGACTATTTGTTGTTTTGCCCTCCAATCCAAATTTTAGTTTGTCCTAAGTTAAACTCATTTTAACTTTGTCAAGTAAAAATGTTAAACTTTTTTATAGTTTTATAGCTTCCATGGCATCAAATCTTTGGACAGTAGAAAATGCATAAACCTCTACAATATCAAATAAGATTCCTAACCCTAATCTAAACAAGGCCTAAGATTCGTTAGGTACACTATGAAATATATTTTGATAGCACGCTTATTTTTGAAAGAGTTGGTAGCCCATTTATTTGATATGTGATAGCCATTTATTTTTGAAATATATTTTGATAGCACACTCGATTGCTCCAATGGGAAAAATATGTGAGGCTTTGTTGCAAAAACAAAGAACAATGCTCTTTTCATATTTTTTTGGTAGGTGCTCCTACTTTTTGTCCTTATATTTATCTGTTTTTTCTCAAACAGAGGATTGGGTCCTTGGGGTCCAGGTCTAGTACAAAGATATACCAGTGCCAGGTTTGGTACACGTTCAACTGGTGAATTACTAACAGATCAAGAATCGACATTGTTGACAGGTATTTTTTTGGTTAATAACTAATGCAGTAAATGTGTTATTTCTTATTGTACTTGCAACTGAACCTTATTGTTGTTTTGTCATGTGTGAAGATTATATTTACCATACCTTAGCTGCCAAAGCTAGTGGAGAGCTGTGCTTGAAATATATATTTTCCTTCGGGGCATTTGCAAGGAAACCTCTTCTGCAGTGGTTAGCTTCTTATACTAATCTACTTATGGTTAACTGTTCTCTGATATGATCGTTCACAATACAATAATTAGTCTCTTGAAGTCATGGAATTCCATCATTTTGGAAATAATATCCAGGAGCAGAGATGTGGGCCTGCATGGTATCTGTAAAATATTTTTCATGTGGAAACTAAATTATCAGTTCAATTGGGGCTGTTAATTCTAGACAGAACAAGTTGTCCAAACAAACATTCTGAATGTTAATGAAATCATCATCTCATTTGGAGTAAATGGAGTCTCTTGATGCATCATGATGTTTTATTGTCCTTTAACTTGCAACAGCGCATCCGATTGGAAAGTGCCGACTACTTTCATATATGGGCAGGAAGATTGGATGAACTACCAAGGGGCTCAGCAAGCACGGAAGGACATGAAAGTTCCTTGTGAAATAATCAGGGTGCCACAGGTAAACCTTTCATGCTGGCAATGTTGCATAGTCACGAATTACAATTTTGCAATACTGGTTCAAGGACTAAACTTTAGTGGTTATGTGCTGCAGAGTGGACATTTTGTGTTTATAGACAACCCTTCAGGGTTCCACTCGGCTGTCTTCTACGCGTGCCGTAATCTTTTATCCCCAAACGGAGAGGAGGGCTTCACATTTCCTGATGGCCTAATATCTGCGTGAGGTGGCATGTTCAACAATCTTGTCGTGCCCAACAATATAGTTTATATGGAGCAAAGATATACGATGGTGGAAATCTTTGCTCATTTCCACCAATTTGGAAATATTTGTGCCCTCTTCCACCAATTTGTTTGTATACGGATTATGCCGTGTATATATTCTGTGATGACTGTAAGAAACATAATGTATTAACATTATGTAATGTATGTACACGATTCTTTATTTGATTTTCGAATTGCAATACGCGAGAACCATTTTCTTTCAGTGATTCAGTGTGCTTGCTAGTAGTAACGCAGAACGCACATCTCCATTCCTTCAGACAGTTTGATTCTGGCGAGGTTAGCATCACTTGGCGAGGGTCAGTTTGATCCTGTTTAAAAAGTTGGTCTTTTCAAATTATATATTCCTCTCAAATGATTTTCTATAAAGTTTCAAGAAATTGTTGTGCAAAGTAACTTTGAACGGCAGCTCACACAACGCAAACCAGCTAACCTTTCTCCCCAGACCTCTCTCTCTCTCTCTCTCTCTCTCTCTCTGCCCTACTCAACTTTGATGAGCCTAAGCCCACATGCTGCTGGTCGCGCGGCTGCACGGGTAGCAGAGCATGGCGGCGGGGGCGCGGCCCTTCGCCAGCCTCGCCGCCGCCACCTCCCGGATTGCTTCCCTCGGCCGCGCGGGCGACGCGGCCTCCGCGCGCGCCGTGTTCGACGCCATGCCGCGGCGCGACGCCGTGGCCTGGAACGCCATGCTCACCGCCTACGCGCGCGCTGGGCAGCCGCGCGATGCGCTTGCGCTCTTCTCCCGTGCGCCCGTGCCCGACGTGTTCTCGCTCGCCGATGCGCTCTCCACGGCCGCGGCATTTCGAAGCCCCACCGCCGGAGCGCAGCTGCACGCCCGCCTCCTCCGAGTCGGCCTGCGGGCGCTGCTCCCAGTGGGCAACGCGCTCATCGCCATGTACGCCAAGTGCGCCCGCGCCGAAGACGCCGCGCGCGCCTTCCGGGAGATGCGCGAGCGCAATGCGCTGTCCTGGTGCTCGCTCCTGCATGCCTATGTCGCCTCAGACCACTTGAGGCTCGCACAGGAACTGTTTGATGAAATGCCCAACAGAAATAATGTTGCCTGGAACACGTTGCTTATGGGATATTCACGCAGCGGCAATGCTAACCAGTGCTTGCTTCTCTTCAACAAGATGCGGATGGCAGGGCTGACCTGTGATGATGCAACACTTTGTATTCTTGTTGATGCTTGCACTGAGCTGCCCCACCCATTTGCTGGCTATGCAATTCACAAGATTGTAGTGCAGAGTGGATGGAATGCAATGGCCGAGGTCAGTAACTCCCTGATTTCCATGTATACTAAATTCAGTTTGCTTGATGACGCCGTGCGGATTTTTGAGTCCATGGAGGTGCAGACCATTGTATCGTGGAATTCACTGATTGATGCTTACATGAAGCTTGGCTGTGTAGAAAAAGCCACTTCTCTCTTCGGAAGTGTACCTGAGACCAATGTCATCTCATGGACTGCAATGATCGGAGGACTTGCAAGGAACGGACGTGCTGATGAAGCACTAACGCTATTTGTCGAGATGTTGGCACACGAACACATCCATCCGGATGACTTCACATTTGGGGCCGTGCTGCATGCTTGTGCTGCTGCGGCATCTCTAGCAAGTGGAAGGATGGTCCACTGTAGGGTGTTCCAAAGTGGGTTTGCATCCTACTTGTACGTGGCCAACAGCTTGATGGACATGTATGCCAAGTGCGGGGATTTGGAGGGTGGTACTAATGTGTTCAGTGCCATTGTCAACAAGGACCTGGTCTCGTGGAACACAATGTTGTTCGGATTTGCTATAAATGGATGGGCCAACGAAGCACTGGTGGTGTACAACAGCATGAAATCCCATGAGGTCTGCCCCGATGAGGTGACATTTACAGGCTTACTCACAGCCTGTAGCCACTCTGGTCTTCTGGAGCATGGGAAAACCTTCTTCGAGTCGATGGTGTCTGTTCATGGAATTCAGCCAAAGCCAGAGCATCTGTGTTGCATTCTTGACATGTATGCGAGATCAGGGAACACTACAAAGGCTATGGAAATGCTGGATCGTTATTCAGAAATGATTCAGACACATAACAGCGACATACGTGAAGCTCTGCTTAGCGCATGCTCTTTGGAACACCTGAATTTCAGTGTTGCAAGGAAGGCAATGAAAGACATGGTGCCGACCAAGTCTGTGGGAGACGTGGGTTATGTCATGCTGTCCAACTTATTCTGCGCCACTGGGCAGTGGAACCAGGCTGAGCGGGTGCGAATAGCAATGGCTGAGTATGGCATCAAGAAATCACCTGGCTGTAGCTGGATCGAGGTCCAAGGTGCTGTTAAAGTTTTTGTATCAGGTGCACAAGATCTTGATTATTCAGGTCGGGATGTTATTAGCTTGTTGGATGGCGAGATGAGAAATATCATGCTTTTCGATGTGTAGTCGTATAGGTCATCAACTCATCATAGTGTCCCGCATTGAGATTGTTGTTATATTCCAAATGGGACTTTCTTTGTTTCCGTATACGCTCCACGGCAAAGAAGTTCTAACACCACTAATCTTGCTAACGAAAGCTCAAGCTAGGTTCTGTTTGTGTTTATATGCTGTGACGTTAAGACGTCTTCGCTAAGAATGGACGGCTAAATAATAATAGACTCTGTATTTGATTTCTCTATATTTAAGTGTGCTCTTTACCCTTTAGAAGCTGTGGGATGCAGAGGTCGGGCATTCTCCATAAGAAAAATGTGCTGTGAGTGGACGCATGCTAAGGTGGTGTAGTATGGCTAATCTGGGTTTTCTACCGAGAGAGTAAAATAAACCTCCCATACGCACACGATTTCATCAACATCACATATAATATATATCCGATGGCCCAAGGGAAATTCAGAGGTCTAGTCCATCTTTGAACATGAATACAATATGGACTGGTTTATACCTCTACTATAACCTGCTGGTGGAAGGTGCCCGATGGCCCAAGGGAAATTCAGAGGTTTAGGCCATTTTTTAGCATGAATACAATATGGACTACAAGGTTGTTTGGTTGCCAGCCTTAACTCGCCACGTCTCAGCCTCAGCGACCACAGAAAAAGGAGGGAGCTGTTTGGTTGGTATTTAATGTTAGGCACACCACAAATGTTTCAGTTCATTTCAGCGTGTTTTCTCGTCACTTTCCATGCCACTCTTTGGCATCGCCACAACCGCGGTGTGCCAGCGTGCGGTCAAAATCCAAACAGCTCCTACATATGGTTTATACCTCTATAACCTGCTGGTGGAAGATGACGCACACGCACCTAGGGCAAAGAAACACAAACATCATGAACCAATTGGCTCGGGGAGGTGGATCCAACCATTTTCCCCATTGTTATCCTTCATGTTCACTAAACCACTACATATGGGACGATGCTCTCTAACTTGGGCCTTGTTGGGTTTAGTAGGGATTGGAGGGGATTGAAAGGGGTTGTAGAGGATTAAATCCATTACAAGTTAAAATCCCTATCGTTTTCCTTCAATCCACTTGAGAAGAGGATTAACCAGACAAGACCTGATTGGAAGGGGATTAACCGAACAAGGCATTAAGGTGCAACCCTCTGGTCTCCACTTGATTTCCCCTCTTCCGACAATGATGCCTACGTTTATGGATCCATAATAATGCATACCGTACACCACCCCCGCGCCGCATTCAGGGGCCGTTGACTCGCCGAAGACACACACGGTCGACCTCACGGTGGATGGCCCTCCTAGTTCACCACCGGGGGCTACCCTCCAGGCCGTGGACAACGACGACTCCACCAAACGACGCGTCGACAGCTTCATCAACAATGTCACGCGTAAGAGGGACTCTTCGCTGATTCGCGAACCTCCCAAGCAGCCTCCTGCTAAGCCGGTGCTTCCGTGGCGGAGCAGGCGGTTGGCGGCTCAGAGCCTCTCCCGAGTGCCAGATTCCAAGCGAGGTGAGGTGTTGATCATGCAGCGTATGGAATACACCAAGGGTCCATCTGCGTCCGAAGCCGAGGCACTGGACGAGCTCTTTCCGGCAGCTGGAAAGGCATCGTCCAGGCAGCCGCGAAGACGCAAGGCCACCTCCTAGGTCACAAAGCTGTGTCGATATTGGTTGTTCCTTTTATGTAATATCGAAACTTGAGGTTTTTTTGCTAGGATGGTCCAGCTTCGGGTGTGTTAGATCGACCTCCTTCGGCGCTCGTTTGAAGCGCGTTGTTTGTTTGTTTAAACTATTCTCCTTAATACAATGATACGCAAATCTTTTGCATATTCGAGAAAAAATAATAATGCATACATTAGGGAGGTGGAAGACGACCCACTTCTATGGGTATTTGGCCAACCACACGTTAAAATCTTGCAGAAGCCTTATATATTTCCTCCATTCATAATCCAAATGGGGTGGTGATTTTTGAGTCGAAACCAATCATCTCAAAACGATCTACATCTTTCAAGTGATAAATTATGCATTTGAGGCCTTCTTGGGTTCAGGATCCTCTTATGTCACCTAGTCACTTAGGTCCTCAAAAAAGGTGCATTCATTGGTTCATTCTCATACACCGGGCCTGTCTGACCGCACTCCTAACTTGCACCAAGCCTTGATCTTTTTTTTAAAACGGAGGAAAACCCTGTTTTTATAAAGCCACAAAGGACAAGTAACAGACATAAACTGAAAAGAAAAGAACAGATAACGCTGGGGTTACCAGCTTACACCACGACCAACCAGTAACGAAACACCCCAAGTTTTTAAGTTTCCACTAGCACAAGCTGCTAGAAGGAACCAACAGGACCAAAATCTAACAAGAACAACTTCTAAGCGTGGAACTGCATCTTCATCCAATTGATCCATTTATGTCATATTTTCTATGATTTATCAGTATACTCCAAAAGTCATATGGAAATGGGATTATATTATACATCAAGTGGCCATTAGTATATGATGAAGATGAACGGTTTTTTTTTAATAGTGCCAACGAGCTGAATAGGCTGCTGCAGGCCTGCCTCATTTTTGGGCTTCACCTATAGGCTCAAGCCCACGCGGTTCAGTTAACCATGGAGTTCAAGTGATCGTGAAGCCCATGTCTCTCTTTCGGCCGCCCAGGAAAGGAAAGCCCTCGAAAGGAAAGCCCACCAAGCCCAATTGTGCGAGAAGACAAAGGAAAACAGCAAACTTTCCGTTCTCGTCGACGCGCCTTTCCTTTTGAGCGCACCGCACCGTCGCCCGCCCTCACGTTTTGCTCGCAGCCTGCCTTCGCGTTCGCATTCGCCCTCGCCGTCAGAAAACCTCGCCGCCGGTATATTCCCGAGTCCTACCTTCCCCTCGCGACGCGCTCCTACTAAACCCTAGCTCCGGCTCAATCCCATCCTTCGCCCACCTCTCCGCCGCCATGGACGAGGACCGGAGCGCCGATCCCGCTCGCCGCGGCCGCCTCCTCTCGCCGACGAGCGGTCAGCCCCAAACCTCGCCACAGACACAGCCCCAGCTCCCCATGGACCTCGCCTCCCAGTACCAACGCCGCTTTGCGCCGTCGGTTTTCCTCCCACCGATGGCGCCCCGCCTGGCGTCCAGCTCCGGCTTCTCGGCCTTCAGCAACTACCAGAGCCTGCCGACGACGCTCGCGCCCGCGGTGGGCGCCGGATCGCATCTCGCTCGGTCACTCCCGAAGCCGCCGCTCTTCTCCGTGGACTCTCTAGCTCCGCTCCCGTACTCCACCGGTCCAGCGGCAGGGGCGGGGGCGGTGGTCCCGCGTTCCCCGCCGTCGCCTGGCGGCTCCGAGCAGCAAGTGCCGTCCGCGTCCGGCCTGCCGCCGCGTGGGTCGGGGCACCGTAGGTCCCGTAGCGATTTCCTCGTCGGGTTCTCGCCCCCGAACCAGCTACCCCTGCCGATGACGACTCCTGCGGCTGGGGAGTACAGGTCGAGGGACGCCTCACTCGAGGAGCTATTCCGCTCGTACAGGGATCCGAACCTCGGCTCCTCCGGGTCCGGGGATAGCAGAAACGAAAGGAACGACCACCTAAGCAGCAGCCAACGCGTTTGGAGCCCCGCTGATAGCAGCGAGAATGAGGCTGAGAGCTGGGCGGCTAGTGGCAGTGGCAACGCAGACAGCAGCGCTAACCATCCTCGCCATTGCCGCAGCCTGTCGGTGGACAGCATCATGAGCAGTCTCAACTTTGGAGGCCCGGGCCAGGTTTCTCTGAGACTACCGCCTCCGTCCCCGGTGGCAGTAGCCGGTGGCAGCCTCACGCGCACCGGAAGCGGGGCATCGGGCGGTGCGGTTGCAACTGCTTCTTCTGAACTTATCAACGGAGAGTTCACCGAGTCTGAGATGAAGAAGATCATGGCCAATGATCGCCTCGCTGAGATCGCACTTGCTGATCCTAAGAGGGTCAAGAGGTTCGAATTTTCTGGAGTTCATATGAGAGGATCCAGCCTCCATACTCCATAGTGGTTTGGTTTGCTGAAATCCAGTATTTTTCTGGTAAAATTCGCAGGATTCTAGCTAATCGGATCTCGGCAGCAAAGTCTAAGGAGCGCAAGGTGAAGTACATGGGTGAGCTTGAGCGTAAGGTTCGTGTGCTGCAGATGGAAACTAGTACATTATCTTCGAAAGCAGCATCGTCGCAGGTTTGTTCTCTGAGACTCTGAATGAGGTGATCATTTTGTTCTTGGCCCAAGTTTTGGCACTGCTTTACTGGCTTAATATCTATTTGCAGAGGGAATGTGAGGCACTTAAAACTATGAACAATGAGATGAAGATCAGGCTGCAAGCAATGGAGCAGCAAGCACAGCTGAAAGATGGTATGTTTATGCCCCCCCCCCCCCAAACCCAAAAAAAATCATTCACTGTTGTACCTCCTTTCTGCAAACATCATTTTTTTTCTCTTCCATCGGTGACTGATCTATACTGTCTTCTTGTAAAGCTTGTTTTTTTCTTTGGGTTGTAAGTATGTTGGCTTGTGTTTTCTCTTAACGCAATACCTACACAGCTCTCAACTCTCATGCGACGAGATCTTGCTTTCCACTGAGCAGTATGTTCTTTTATTTTGGACTTGCATGTGCAATTTTGCTTATTAAAAAACTCAAGAAACAGGAGTTTACTTTTTCCTAGATTTATATGCGCGTTCCCTCTACGTGTCAAATGTAAATTGCAGTGATTATTGGTTGATCATTAGATGCATACATTTTTCTAAAAAAATGATGATTTGTAAATGATAAGTTCCCCAACTCATATGATTTCTAATCTTCTACAGTTTCCCTGAAACATATTTTTATATCCTTCAGAAGATGGTAAATATGTTCATCACTGGGTTAAAGTAAGCTTCTTTTTTCTCAAAAAGATGTACCATTTGCATCAGTATTGAGGAAGTATTTTCTATTTTTATTCATGGCTTGGGCTATGAAGTTTGTTCGCATCCATCCAAATCTATGACAATTTCTACATTCTGAAGTGCACAGAGAAGGGGGGTGAAGGTGAGATGTATAATAGCGAGTAGCGAGTCCATAGAAGAGGAATGTAGAGAATACGAACAAAAAGAAAATTGTTATTGAGTAAACCTAAACCTAGTGTTATGAGCAGACTGGAATAACTCTGAATGCATTTCTTTTGATTTTTCAATGCCGATACAGCATTGCCAACTTGGCATATGTTCAGCTTATTTAGTGCCCTTATTTCCCAGTGTCTTCAACTTAGACCTGGCATTCCATGCTATTGCTTTACCTCATCGTTCTCTAATTGACTGTATAGTTCAATGAGAACATTCCCAAGAGTCTTTCTTAAACTCCCTCTTTAAATCAACATTTAGAGAGTTGTTGGATATCCAATTAAAGAATTGAGCGGGGAACAGCAGGTGCTCTGCCTTTTCATTATAGAGTTGGAAAGAAACATTTACAAACTTGTCTCAGCGTTTGGAAGAACAACCAATTAAAGAATTAATTGGAGGGTATTTTTTTCATCAAAATATCTATTCCTAATAATTAGGAACAGGGGCGGATTCAAAGGGGAGGCTGTCGGGGCTACAGCCCCCCTAGTGAGCCTGATTTCTTCATTAGACCACGGTTACTTAGCCTCAAATCACCATTAATCTCTAGCCCTAGCCCTAAATCTTCATTATTTAGCCCCCTTTGTTCCCATCCTGCATCCGCCACTGATTAGGAAGGATATAGAGAGTCGCTTGGAGTTGCTCTGACATGGCAAGGGAATTTCCATTGATCTATTATAAGTTTTTATGACTTATGTATGCTTTATTAATTTAAATAATTGAATGAATAGTACCATGTTCTAACAAAATAATTACAATATTACTGTTTTGTGCAGCAAACTTTAGTTTTACCTGTTTTCATAATCCATGTGTTAGAATCTCACTGCTTTTTATCAGGCTTCATGGCCATTATTATTTATTTTTTGTGAGTCTACATGGACCTTATTTTGCGACAGGTTGGGTTGTTTTTGTTTTTCAACTAACAGGCGCATATGTAGTTTCATAACACTGGGGTGTGTGGGTGCTGTATGACTATATTCTTCTACTAATGCAATGATATGTAGATCTCCTGTGTATTCGAAAAAACAATGGACCTTATTTTTTCCATGGTATTTACATTGCAATCTTGTTTCTTTGGCCTATTCAACTACTGATTTTATCATTGGTACATTGTTCTGTATCCAGCTCTGAATGAAGCACTGACTGCTAAAGTCCAGCGCCTGAAACAAATTGCTGGTGAGGCCAGTGATCCTCATGTGCCGAACGGTTCACATCATCATATGAACCGCCAGATTCTCGAACAGCAGCTGCTGCAGCTACAGCAGAAGCAGCCATCAGAGGCCCAGCAGGCTCAGCAGCAGCAGCAACAGGAATCAGAGCAGTTCAAAGCTCAGCAGAAGCAGTGGAACCATTAAGGAGATTTCACAGAGGGCATGCACATGCTTGAAGGTCATTCATACTGCAGATTCATGAAGGGATACCTTGTGTTCCCGGATATTCGTTTTTCTTAGGTTTTAGAACAACCGCAGTTGGATATTCCGTCTTTTGTGGTTTCTTGAAGTTATTTGGTTTCATTGGTTGGATGTTGGTAATGCCTGGGTGGATTCTGTGTTGTACAAACTTTTAGTCTCTGTAATTTTCTGCTAGAATTATTGAAATCATTTTTAGGCACATTTGTGTTGCGAATTAAAGGGGCCAATTTGTGGGGTACAACATATTCTGTAGATGCGGATGCGTGAAATCCTGTAACTTATATTCTTATTCACTAATCATTCTATTAGAAGTTCAGATGGATTCGTCGTAGTTGATGTTTATGTTTTAGCATAACCTGCTATTGATCATGTTGTCCAGCGCATCGTTGCAGAGAATCTACCCAATGAGGCTGGTATCTGCTGTTGGTTTGTAGGCTCTGGCTCTGGGAAAGTTTGGTGCAGGCTTTGGATACACTTGTGTGCTTGTGCATATATATTGTCACAAATACTTCAAAACAAAAGCACGTATCAATGGATCTTGCCTTGCCTAGTCTTTTGTCAAAGAAAAAGGGCAGATAGGTGAAAGCATCCAGGGGTTGTGGTCTTCATCATGCCTAGATATGCTGAAGTCTATAGCTTTTCAGCAGAGAGAAAAGGCAAGAAAGATTCATTCCTGATCTAACTCTTTGATTTGAAAGAGTTGATCAAGCTTAGTAAATCATCCTTGCATTGCCTCTTTCTGTTTTGTAGCAAAAGGGAGTTATGATCAAAGCTGCTTTTATTTCCTTGCCCATTTCACCAAAAGAGTTAGTAGTTGCCAACAAAATCTAGTTAATCCGCGCACTTATAATGTACAAACACCATGGCACAGAGCACCCAAGAGAGCTCCAGGAACCTGGCGATTTATGAGCACAGACATGGCGGAGCAGCCAAGCAGATGGATGGTAACTAGTCCACTGTCCTGTCCACACAACTAGCACATGCACCAACAAGGGGACGCAAGCTAGCCAGGCAGGCAGAGGAAGCAATCTCACGCAGCTCCCGCTCCTGCCTCTGGCACGGCCGCCGTCTTGGACAGGTTCTGGAGCAGCGCGAGGTTCTCGTGGCGGAGTGCGCTGGCCCTCTCCCGGAGCCTCTCGTTCTCGGCGATGATGCACCGGTTCTCCAGGTAGAGCTTCAGGTTGAGTATCTCCATGGCCTCTGCTCCGGCTCTCAACCTCCTCAGCCTCAACCTGCGTACGTGTGGTGTGATTGCAGGAAACTGTCCCTGCTGCTGCTGCAACTTGAGCAGAGGAAGCTTGAGAAACTTGAACAGAGCACGTTAATTAGTTACCTCTTTCTCCTGATGGCAACCGAGACATGAGGCGGCGGCGTCTTCTGCAGCTGCCGCTTGAGGTTGACGACAACACGAGACGGGTGCTTCTTGCTGCTGCTGCTCCAGGACCAGGAGCCGGAGCACATGTTGCTGTGGATGGCGTACGCCTGCTGCTAGCTACTAGATTCTTTGGAGCTCAGTGACTTCGAGATGAAGTGTGTTTTAAGGGCTTTCAGGCTATATATAAAGATAGATCTCATCTCATCTCACCTCGCCTCGTCTCAGGGCTTTGGTGGTTTGTAGCTTTAGGTTTTTGTTTGGTGGTGCATGCACACACTGACATGACGCATGTGAGCCAAGAGAGATGGAGAGGCAGCTAGCTCCTCCTCCTCCATCATGGAGCATGGACTATGGCATGGCATGAGCCAATGGATCTTCCGGGCGCTAATCATTTAGCAGCATATTTCCATCGGAAAAAGGAGGAGGAGAGCGTGGACAAATCGATGAGAGAGTATGGATCGGCGACGAGACAGCACGATCTTTTTGACAGGAGTAGGTTGGGGAGGAGAGGAGAAGCCTACAAATAAAGGGAATCATTTGGGTTCTGCAGGAAGCTCCCAGATTTGAAAATGAATTGGCTGAATAATTGTGCTCTCTATGTAACTTCTCCATTTTTTTCCTCAAAAAAAAAACTTCTCCATTTTTTGCATTGGTTAATATACACGTCAAAAAAAGCAAAATGGCCATGCATGCATTATTGATTTTCTTGGGCCGGGTGCTTTGCATTGCATGATGAAGCTTTAGAGCCTGTTTGGCCGGGCTCCGAGCGGCTCCGGCTCCTCTGACTCCTCCCATGTTCATCTCCTATAGCAATACTGTTCACCGGAGCCGTTTCTCTCTCTCCTCCTTTCCTCTCTCACTGACAGCGCTGGATCGTTTTTTTTCTCCTCCGGCTCCAGCTCCTGCGCGCTACAGTGTGGGAGCCAGAGCCGGCGGGAGCCCAGCCAAACGCGCCTAAGAGTTTTCTTGGTACTCGATGGTGCAAGCAAGAGGAAGGCACGGGGAGGTCAAATTCGCTTTCGAGCATATCATCCTTTTTGCTCGTGCGGTTTCTTCGCCAGAATGATGACTCACCGCCTTTTTACCTCCCCTCCCCTCTCTGCAAACATGCGAGTTGCCGTCTGCGTTCAGAACTCTCGCTGCACTGTTCCAACAGAGTCTACTGGGAAGGAATTCCCATTTGATTTCTATCGCAGGCCTGAAAATGATCTGTCGGTCACCACAGTTTCTGCCAACTTGGGAGGCCAAGTTTCCATGAGAGAGAGAGAGAGAGATGCCCTTCATTCCACGCCATTCTCACCCAGAAACCAGTCACCAAGCAGCAGCCATTCAGCCCCCGTTTACTGAGTCACGGACCATCATGGAAGCGAGAATCTCTCGAGAAAAAACTTGGAGCAGGGAAGACACTTTGGGCCACTACCCCCAGCTTTGGCCAAAAGTTGCACTCATTACACACAAGGTAGCCAAGGAAGAGGTGCGCAAGAATTTGCGTTTGACACCTCAAGATCAACAGCACCTGTGCTCCAGATCTGCGCCGTCCGATGCCGTCCCATCCCAGACGCTCACCCATGCGCGACGCGTGTCCCCCCCACCCGGTCCCGGTCCTGCGTCCACTCATTTGATGCATATCTTCGCCGAGTGGAGGTTTCATTCCGACGCTTGACCTCCCTGCACACATTGACAGAACACAGAAGCAGCATCCATCGTTGCTGCAGCTTTCGCCATTGACACTGGCCCCCGCGTGAACCTGGTTGACCAATGCGCATGTGAATCATGGATCACATTAGGTAGATGCGCCATGATCCGTGAACACATGCATGCATATGCATACATACATACACGTGCGATGCTCGTCCGGCAACAGCGACGTTCATGTTGGGTTCAGGGTTTAGCATCATGAGGCCACATGCCAGTGGCACCTCGAGATGGAGAGCAGGTACTTTGATGCCTTTTTGGCAGGATTGGTTTGATGGCCATGAACGGATGAGCTTGCGGGGACAGGGTTTTGCAGTAGTGGAGATGGTATCATGGTACTAACTTCAGTGCTCGAAACTGTAGCGTACTGAGTGGCATTTCTCTGTATCAAGTGAACGGATTCTGCTTATCTAAGGCTGTAACCGAATTCAGGGTGATTTTCACAGGCATTTACAGGAGAGATGCAGTTCTGTTTTTCATCAACACGGTCGCAATCATATTTCAGAAGGTAAAGCCAATCAACCTTCTCACTCCGATCAAAAAAAAATCAACCTTCTAACTGTTTCTTCTCCAACCACCGTCACAGGCTCTCAGCAATGTCAATTTTCAAATGAGGTGTAGCATCCCTACAAATAAAGAACATCCCTGAGTGCAGCAAAATATGACTGAGTTCCCGACACTATCTTTTATCTTGCCTCTGAAAAATAATACTACAAACAGAGGATGCATATTGTTGAAAGGTTGTCCTTTTAAATAAACTTTTATCTAATGGCTAAACAGCAGTCATCCATATCAGAGAAAAGCAAGCGCATATCTCATTTACCTTGCCAAACCGGTTGTAACATCCAATCTTGCAGCCTATGATGTTTTTTAGCCTTCCTGGGATGCTTTGAAGATGCGGTATGCAGCTATGCACATTGTTATGTTGCCAATCACTGTCAGGGCACCTTGAAGGGCTACAAGGACCTGTGGATCAAGTAAGAAAACCATTTTCACCAAGGCAAACAATACGAGCAAACGAACTGTTTCAAATACTGATTGGATTGCATTGTGCTTTTGTTTATTTTCATGAAAACTCTGAAGGGTTACCAGATGTAATAATTCTGTTATCACAAAAACTAGTAAAGCATGACTGCATAAGGATCTCAGCAAAAAGAATATCTGAAAATAGTTGCTGGTGTACACTAACTAAAGTTTCATTCAGGGTAAGCTAGAAACACAATAGCATCTCACAATTGAGAGCATTCAAAAAAAAAAAAGGGGGGGGATAAGTGATAATCATATCAGCAAACAACAAACATGAAACTGCATTTTTAACTCAAGGAAATATCTTACTTCAAGAGACTCTGAATTGTAGAAGAAATGCCACGTGCAAGCACACATTGCTCCACCAAGAAGTGGAACCTATTGGACAGAAATAAAGATCTGTCAGTCAGCAAAACATAACATAACCAGTGACAAAACAGTTGAAAATTTACGAACATATGAACTGCCTAAACAGCATAGTTCTGCAAACAGAAGAATTCTTCTGCTCAAGATAACATTAAAGTGAACCATTCCTACTCAAAATCTTTAAACATCGCAATCTGTAGTTCTACAGACAGATAGAGAAGAACCACCACACATTTCTTCAGCAAACGATATCTTAGCAAAGATCTAAAAGCTCTGCCGAAATTTGCACTCACCATCCCCCACGAGAGGCCCTTCCAGCCCTTGAGCCCCGTCCTCTCCCCGTAGTCCCAAACCAGCCACATCGCCGTCACCCTGCAACGCAAATCCCTGTCAGGGATTCAGGCCTCACAGAGCTTACAGGCGCGGAAGCAGTCGCTAGGCGGTAGCAAAGAGAAGCGGTACCACTCGGCGACGCTGGAGACGTGGACGGCCCAGGTGGGCAGCGAGAGCGCATTCGCCGGCTCGGACAGCGCGGCGAGCGCTGGTGGCGAGGCGGCCGCGGCCCCGGCCACGGCAACCGCCGCCGCCGCCGCCAGGCCCACCCCACCCGTCAGACGGACTGCGGAGGGCGGTCTCCGCCGCTCACGTAGAGGTGGCTGAGGGGGACCGGAGGGCGCTAGCGTTGCCACGAGCCGGAGGGACGCCATGGGATGCGGCGGGACTGCGTGAGGTTGGCGTTAACCCGAACCCGGCAAGTCGTCGAGGATTATTAGACGTCTGTACATCCGTATGTGTACCAAAAAAAAAAAAAAAAAAAAAACTGAACATAGATTTGAAGGCTTATAAAAAAATACAGTACAGGTTTAGCAGTGCCCCACTGCCCCTACTCAAGCTCCTATAAAATAGGAAGGCTTTCAAATAACCCCATTTTAGACTACTCAAGAGTGAGATAGAAAATTGACGCTTGAAATACGAGAAGGTTGGTGAGAAATTTATAGTGTGTTTGGTTTGAAGACCCAAATCATACAGGATGGAATGGTCTAGTATAGACTCATCCGGTGATTTCTCGTGGAACCACATGATCCGTCTTAGTAGGCATATCAAGTACTACACAGAATGGTTTCGTGACGCATGAATCGATAACATGACACAGACCAAACGCTTAGGCTAACTTTGGTACCAGGATCGGATGATTTCGCATGGCCTCGTGACACATACAAACAGACTGATTGGTTAGGCTCTAAAATCTGTCCAACCAAAACTAAAGCATTGTAATGAGGTATGTTCATATACTTATATGCTGAGTAAAATTAGCAACAGACTACCTGTGGCTGTGAGAGTGTGGGTAATCGGAGACCTTATTCTTAGCCTCACCTCAATGCCCCCTGCTTTTCAATTTCTTTTGTCCCCCCTCTTTCCCACCCCACCTGCACATAACCCTATTTGTCTCCTTCCTATGCATCGCTAGCACCGCCCTCCCTTTGGCTATCGATCACCGTATCTAGGCGTGTTTGGTTCCCTGTATATCGGTGAACCAGGCTCTCCAGATGCAGTGGCCACCTGTTTGGATACCTGACGCCAAGGTTTGGGCCAAGCTCTGGTGGTGCAAAAGCCACCCTCCAGCTGGTACTTGGTTTCCCAAGAGCCTGGCTAGCGCAGTGCGGGTGGGAGCATATGGGGTGCACGCGATAGAGAGGGGAGATGCAAGCATCTAGGCAACCAATCACTTGCTCGGTGTAGCCTGTATGCATGGATCCTACTGTAGCAACCAAACAAACATCTCTTGCATGCTCTTAGCCAGGCTACCGAGAAGGGACCTGGCTAGACTGGGAAGGCAACTAAACACGCCCCTAGCCTTCCCATTGGCCGGAGTCGTTGTCATCCTCATTGGCTGCTCGAGCCTGTGAGTGGGCCCTCCTAGAGAGCGGTCTCAATCGACCTCAAGCTCACCCTCGCCGCCCGACCATGGACCACCTTTGCTCGGTGAGCTCCCTCTCGGGTTGACGGGTTGTTGTCCGGTCCTCAAGCAGGTGCTCCCAGAGTGCACCTCAAAATGGGAGTTGGCCTCCCCTCATAGCCACGCGATGCAGGAATCGGAGATGAAGGAGACGAGGTCGCGGCGTGATGGAGCTCGACCCACCATGGTGATACGAGAGACAGAGAGGACGAAGAGGAGGGAACCTTGATTGGTCATCCACCGTCCACATTACTTGGACAAGAGAGGACAATGGATGCGGCTTGGAGGGAGGGGGTTGAGAAAAGAAATAGAAAAAAGAAAATGTATTCCGCCGACAAATAGGTCCCATCTAGAGTTTAATCAATTATTTGATGTTCGAAAAAGAAAGGGAGGTCTTCAGATCCCAATAGAGGTCCTGATTTAAGGATCATCGATGGAGATATTCAACTAGACATGTGTATAGCTGCAACCGTATATGTAGGTTACTCTTATTCCTGTAACGTTGTCATTGGGATGCAGACAAAATGTCGAATACGAGAAATTCTGACGAATCATGCGAGAAATGATATGGTTCGATGAAAAGCAGTTGGAGATGCCCTGTTCACTTTGCTGAAAAGACAAGTTGAAAAGTATTGTTCGCTGATTTATTGTGAGAGAAAAACATTGTTCCTTCGCTGAAAAAGTACGGCTGCCTATGACAAGTGGCCAAAAATTGAACTCAATCAGCTCTTGGGCGGCATGCCAGCATGTATAACTCAAAAAGAAATGCAAATTTGGAAGATAATTTAGTGAAAAGAAAACACTTGCAAGCTTATTTAGGGCTTGTTCAGTTCCTATGGCACCATCGCCTGGAAGGATTCTTACCCAGATTGCTAGGCTAATTTATATAACCTTTGATCAGCTGGAACGATTCTTGGGTGCAATCCTAGAGAACCGATCGACCCCTTAGATGGAGAGAAGGAGCGCTACATGAGTTTCAAATTTGAACCATGAAAATTCTATCTAGTCTAGATAAATAAGAGCAGGAACAGCAGCACTCGATTGATTCAGGAAACTAGTCAACCACCAAAGAATCAGATGTGTTTCTTCACAATCCAAGGGAGACGAGGCCCCGTTCATGCATCTCATCTCAACAAATCGTTAAGCCCTTTGTTCGGCTTTACATGTATTCACCTCAACATGATATGTGTTGGAGTGGATTGGATCACACATGGATTAAAGTGGATACAAGTGTAGTCCGACAAGCCCTAGAGAGGTTCTATCCATGGGCTTTTCGCTATCATCCAAGAATTTAGGCCATTAGATTCCTCAAAAGAAATTTTAGGCCACTAGAAATCTTAGTTTGACAGAACCATGATCAAATATAAACTAGAAACGCCGGCGCGGATTTGCCACGCCATGCTTGGAGGGACCAGCCGGTTGTATTTTGTGAATCACGGTTAAATTAAGCTAATGACATTTATGTCATATAATGTAACAGAACCGACCAATTATACGAGATTAAGTAAGAAAATCTTCCGCCGAAGCAGATAATTTAGCAAACTTAAGCCCGTATAACCCGGTAGTCCGTGAAACCACGAAGGATTTCAAACCAATCGACATACAAACCAAGATCGTACAAGTTTACCAAGTACCGTCACACGTTACATAAAGTTCACAATGACAGGGGATACATCAGAGTTTAGAACATAAAGTTATTACAACTCAAGTTCGATCTGAAATAGCGGAACCGAATAGTTTTAAAGTCACACACACACTTTTAGCTCAGATACAATGCCAGTAAGTAGTCATCTCCAACAAAAGCATCAGATGAGAGATACGGAGTGACCATTTGCCCTTGGTCCTAGTTGTCACCCATCACCGGGTACATGCAGTTAATGCAATAGCCGTAGTACATTTGATCATCTGCAACAACAATGGGAACAACACCCTAAGTACGAGAAGGTACTCAGCTAGACTTACCCGTCTTAAACCAAAATAAAACGACACCAAGGATTATGCAAGGCTTTCTTTAGTGGGCTAGCTGACTTGTTTGCGAAAAGCATAAGCTATCATGAAGACATCATTTTAAATACTTTGCATCATCCTTATTATAATCTATTCATCTAGGTAAGCACCTGTACTATAGCAATCACTTGATTAACCAATAACATCCAGTTACCAATTTAGCTTTAGCATGTCCATACCATCCAGATAACCATCATTGTTCCATAATAATTACTACGATGCCGTAGCTCGAGTCAAGTGCTCACTATCTAGGAGCGATGACGATTCGAATTGATTCCTAACCAGCTGGTGATTTATTCCCCACACAAACCATGCTTCCCCCGTCAGGGTCGCTTAGATCACCAATGACACTTTCCAAGTAGCCGTGGGATAACAGTAATGGACCGCACTACCCATTGGCCCGACTATCAGGACGCACCTTGGGCTCACTCTTCACGTCCCCGTCATACCCTCTTCAGCACCAGTCTGCGCATCCGAGTTTATCCTGGCTCGAAAAGGTGTCACTAGCTTCGTGGTCGAAAGTTACTTTATTCGGCCAGCTAAATGTGAGGCATGCGTTCAACATGACAAGAGGGACGAGCAACGATCGGTCCTTAATCGACGTAGATGGAAAACTAACTGCACCCCAGAACCTTGTCTGGCTGCCTCCAACCTTTTCCGTTCGGTCTCCAATTATTCATCACACATGGTTAATTCCAGGATGTCATTCTTTCCATAGCTAATTTCTTCCAGAAACCACCTATAAAAGTAGGTGACCAGAAATCACCGATCGCTACCGGTCTAAGCAAGGCTAAGCAGTTATTCGATCCTGACCTAACAGGGTAAAAGGTAATAAGGTAGGCAAGGATAGTAATAAATGCATCAACGGTTTCAATCAACTCCTACAACTTAATGCAACAATATATAACTCATATAGATAGAAAAAATTGCTTTTGTAAAGTAGGAGACTTAGAATGCTCCGGGGCTTGCCTCGTTCGAACGAACTAGGATGATGATCCACGCACTCGGGCAAGTCCTCTCCTTGCTCCTCTTCCTCTGGCACCTCCTGTGCCTGGACTTCTTGTAGATCTGTCTCGGTCTACTCTTCCTGAACTGCTACTAGCAACTCCTCCTGCGATCCTGTATGATGCAGATGTATAAGTGCTAATGCATAGGTGCATCGGAGAGATGACATGTAATGATCATGATGCATAAAGTGTAGATGAAAATGTTTAACTTTATTGGATATAGTAGTATCAAAGCTCGTCTACAAGGTAGTCGACATCATCCAAGAACATGTACTACTATCTACTACGACAACCATTGTACTAACATGCCAAATCACCACAGCAAGTTAAGATGCTTCAAAGATACACCAAAGCAACCATGATTAACTAAACCATGCATTAAAGAAGATTATTTTATTTCATTTTAAACTAGGACTACACCGTAACATATATTTCTGGTGCTCATAAAAATCTAAGAAAATTACAGTAGCATAGTACTACTCTAAGTAGACTACCATAAAATTTTCATTGCATTTGGATAAGTAAAATAGCCTACACAAAAATGACAAGGCATAAGTGTTTAAAAAGGCATAAATAGAAAACTTTAGTTAAAAAGTGTCAAGCAACAGATTTCATATTTTTCCTAACATCCTTAAGGTACTGGGATACTCCCCACAAAATTTCATGGTCATAGGATTCCTAGACAATTTACAAAAAATTACACAAGTATCAATCAATGATAAAAGGAAAATCTATA